TCAGCATCTAAATGGCATATAAGTTTTATGATATTGTAAGTCAGAGTAATCTTGTTTAGTTTGCCTTTTCATGCACAGATACAATCCATTTAGTATGTCAGTGTACTGCAAAGGCAACTTAACCTGTCACTCAGTGATTAAAGTGCCAGATAGAGATAAATATTCTGGGAAATTAAACATTATTTTTCTTCCCTTCATTATATGAAGTGGCAAAATGAAGACAGAAGAACATTAGAAGCAAAATATTTAGAGGAACATCTCCTTAGCATATCAGCAGACAATAACACCATGCAGGCAATTTATATTCAGTGGGAAAATGGCTACTAACTCTGCTAATATGTTTGGTACATTTTCAGAAAAAGTGGTTTGTTCTGCAGGTCAAGTATTTTGAATGTCACCAGGCTCATACAAAGCAATTCATATGGCATTTCTCTTGACAAAACAAGTAGCTGTCAGAAGTTGACCATTTTAAACTTAACACCAACAGTTTCCGCATGTGCCTGCCTCTAACTTCATTTGCTAGGTTTCTTCTCGACCACAGTATTCTGTATTTGCACTGCAGTTTTCCTGCTACCAAATAAAGCTATGTGCTACCTCAGAGCAGCCAACTTTCTCTAGGTTGCCTGTGGACAAGTCAGTTATCAGAAATTTAAGCATTTCAGGGTAGCTTAGAATTATTATCTTCAACTGGTTTTGCTCCCTGCAAGTGCTCCATTGGTGTCCTGGAGCACATTTCCTTTGTGACAGAGCACACAGATGCTTGTCTGGGGACAATCTGCATTTCTCTTGTCCTGGTAAAGGGGCTTGAAAAGCCCTACCTAGGATCTAGGTCATCATTTTTGAAGGGATCATTTCTGAAGGGGTTTTTTGAGTGGGTTGGGGTTTTTTTGGGGGATGGGGGGGATGAGTCGTTTTTTGTTGGAAAGGAGGAGTAACAGAGGAACAGTGCGCTACTTTTTCAGGTTTCCGAATTCCTTTCTTAACCTTCTGGACTGGAGGCCACTGATGCAAAGCTAGAGAGAGAGTGCCACCGCGTGGCTAGAGGCTCTCTTGGCTGGCAAACTCTACACTTTGGTCCTGCAAAAAAAGAAGGGTTAAGATTGAATGGATTAGGCCCTGGAAAAAAAACAACATAAAGCAGGCTTACCTTCTCTGAGGAGGCCAGAGTTGCAAAAATGGGGACCATGAGAAAGCAGTAGAGCTCTTACTCTAGTAAACAAAGAGACTAATGGATACCCAACAACCAGGAATCCTGTGTGCCAGTTTCCACTCCAGAGACTCTATTTTATGCAGAGGTGCTTAATGCAAGCCTTTCAGAGCATGGGTGATAGAGCCCAGCCTTCCTTTACTCCAAAGTGAATTCCTTAGCCATGAGAGGACAGGGCTGCACTCTGTTTTACACACACCGAGAGAGCATGCAGAGTTTGCCATGCCTTTTTATCTAACCAGGAGAGAGAGAGCGAGCGCGCAACAGGTCTCTAGCCTACTGAGTAGGATACTCAGTGTTTTCCTCTTTGGAAATGTGAGCTTCTACAGGCTGAGGAAAGCATGGGGGTTGAGGTCACCCCTTTCCTGTAATTAAGTATTCCATACCATGATAGCATCACTACCATTCCCTTCTCTGTAATCCCATTTTAAAAATGAAGGGGTGACACTTGGCAACATACGTCATTCCTGGGTGAGAAACCACCACAAGTAACTGGATCTGTATCTAACAGAGTTCTAGATATGTAGCTGCTCACAGGCACCAGTTCATGCCTTCCTGGAAGCAGAACGTTGTTATTTCAAATCAAGCAGAAATACCTACAGCGCCGGCAGTGAGTGCCTGCAGAGCTTTTAACAGCTCAGCAGGGCTTTTTTTGGCTCATTAAGTGCAACAAACTTTTGCTACTGACTAGCTTTATAACTAGTTCTGATTAGAAGCCCTCTGAATCTACATCTGCTTCCTATGTCTTTTTTTCATTTATCATTCAAACACCCCATCCCTCACTGTCTTTTCTAGCAAAGAGACTCTGCAGAGGTATGCTTTTTATACCCTATCTAGGAAGCATCTAGACTCCATGCTGTTCTGTCTTTTTGCTTCATTAAACTAGAATGTTCTACCAGTTATCTAGCAAAAATTGATCATTTACATCACAGGTATGGGAAAACAGAGTTTTATAATATCTCAAATAATCAAACTTCCATTTATAAAGACTTGCACCAGGAAGCACACCAGGTAAGATTCATCTCACCCATCTATAGAATTCTACATTGTAGACAGTTGACCATTCTCTGATGCTAAAGAGAGCAGGCCATCTGACAGGCCCTTCCTGTCTCATGAAGGGAAGATAAATCCTACACTCCTGATCAAAGGGAACAGATCTTAACAGTAAATCCTTTAGCCCAGATTCAGTTCCTCCCAGAATTTGTAAATGCCAACTTTGCTGTCCAAGTGCATTGCATTTGTTGTCACAGAATCATAAAATGATGTTGTGCTTCCTGGAGAAAGATATATTTAAAGGTCTAACAGGTTTTGAAGCAGTTTTTAGAAATCTAAAGTGCCATTTACATATCTAATAGGAATGCAGTTCTTTGAAATCCTATGCCTTTAACCACAGTGAGTAGGAAAACAGAATTCCTGTGTCATCAGAGCAGGGAGAAAAGGCAGTACCTGAATTCTCAGAAGCTGAATACATTTTTGTATGTTATTCAACTGGATTGAAGGGAATGCCCAAGAAATTTAGTGTGCTATACACTGCCCAAGCACAATTTAATATTAAAGGGTGAATTAATAATAAAGGACTGGTTTGCTATGAAAGCAAAAATTCTGTGGAATCGGGGCAACAAGATGACATAGCAACAAAAGAAAGAAAATACTCTAGATTAGGAGGTGCAGCTTCCCTTCCCAGAACACAAAGAGACTGCCTGTGATTACAGCAATCAGAACCAGATAGAGGTTATAAATTTATCTAGTCTGAAAGCGAAATGAAATGGAAAATAGACTGCCAAGCACTGAAAAGCAAGTTAATGAGCAGAGAGGAACATCCACAATTTTCCCAGCTCTGCAGAGATCATACAGGACTTCTGTTGAGTTTTCAGGTCAAGACAAGGAAGAGAATATGGGATAATTAATTTCCCATGCTTAATTGGACAATATGACACCAGTCTGCATATGAGTCTTCAAGGTAAGTTCCTAAGACACCCGAACAGTAAAAAACTTTCAAATTTAATGCTTAGTTCAAGTCTGATTGTGAGTGTCCAAAAAACATTGTGTGCAGAATTGCTTTGAGCAGTACACACATTTCTACAATCAAGACATTAGAGGTCTGATTCACTACTAAAAAACTATACAAAAAAATTATACAAACTATAAAGTTTTTTATTTTTTAAAAATAAAGTTCTGAGATATATTAGTATCTATATATGCTGCATATTTACAAGCAAGGCACTGTCATGTTTATTCTTTTTAGCCATCTAATACTCAGCATGAAACTGAAAACACAGGAGCACTTAAGTTTTCTTTACAGTGTCAAAAGAGAAAATGAAAAAAATAAAAAGCTTAGTGTGCAAGGAGCCTTCTAGAAATAGCATATACAAAAGTGTTTAAGCTCAAGGCATAGAGCTGAAGCCCCACTTCACTTTCTGGACCTTTGAGCCAAGTGCAGGGCTGCAGAGAATTACCTTGTCTACCTAGGATGACAAATGTTCTCTTCAAGGTAATTGACAGGTCACAATTATCATGATAGTTGCAACTATGTGTTATATACAATAGTGCTTACAGCACTCACTGAGTAAGAAAATGCACTTCCCACCTCCCTGGAGAGTATCTTAAGTGTCAGTCTATCTCAATTATATATAAGTATCCTCTCTCCCTCTAGGGAATAAGTAAAAAAAACTAATGAAGAATTCACAAGGTCAAAGAGACAACAAAAGTCAGATACCTGAATGTATATATGGAAAGCATTCAGTGTGTGGTGTGAATGACAAGTTTTAGGAAAAGATAGATTCTTAGGCAAAGAACCAAAGCAATGAGAGTACGTAGCTACACAGACCAGGGGAAGAAAAAAAAAAGTTTTTTTGCACCTTTCCCCAAGTTTGACAGAAATACAATATGTAGCCAACAACCCCTAGCTGGTTTCTGAGACCATGTGTACATCTTTCAAAGACACTTCCATACTTCCATTTTTTGTAATGTCTCTTAAAAATAAAGTAGCAGTTTCTGTATGAAGTTGTTACAGAGAATGAAAAGGCGTCATTTCAAAATGTATCTGAATATTTAATTGCAACATTATCAGACTTTAAGACATTGACATTCCTTATCAAAATATACAGCATGATCTAATATGTCATTTCTACCATGGCTTTGGTATGAAAATGTTTTGAAGCACAAAGATTTAGGAATTATCAAAATCAACAACCTAGAATTTTTGCAACTAAAGTAGTACATTTTTCTGAACATAATGTAATTATATGCAAGATGGTAGCAAATGCTGTAATAAGTCATTGCAGACAAGACTGACAGTTTTGAAAAGGGTCGGTTAAAAAAATAGATAATTTGTCTTTGAAAAGAGGGAAAGCGGACCTTCACATGACCACTGAAATCCACAAAACTACAACTTACATATTATTAGAGACTTCAGTTACTAAACTAACCAACCAGTTAGTTATTACAACATGTACATAAGTGTTTTCAGGAATTAGAAGATAAATCTTAACTAGTGCCTGTAAGTACTGCAGTAGATTAATTTGATACGAAATTAGGGGTGATGTCTGGGGAACTGGATCAAACAAATTCTCAAATACCCCACCTAACATGCTTGTGCACATATTTTTATGACATCCAGTAAACACAACAGAGCTAGGTCATACAAGAACTAGGTCATGCAAAGAAAACCATCATATGTATGGAGTGTATCTTTTTCATTGCATCTATGTATTGATCATTTTTCAGTATCCATCTAGGCAGAAACAGGAAAGAAAAATTTAGTTAAAAATAAAGACTGTTGGGTTTTGATTTTAGTTCACTGGCTGATCCTTAAACAACAAGTACAAGACTGTATATCTTGGGAGACAATGAAACATAGTTCACTGTCATATAAACTGGTAATTTAGTCTGGGATGCTGAGCTCTGGCTTACAGCATGTGCATAATGAGACACTGAATGCATTCTGCATCCTCCTACAAAGCTAGTGCAATATTCTCTAGGTACTTCTGTAGTAGTTAGACTGTGTTTTCCAAAGATGCTTATGAACTCTTGTAACACCTATCAGGAGCTAGATTTATTCTTCTAACGTTCAGCTCCGTTGCAAAGGTTCTTGCCTTTTGATAGAAGAAGAGAGACATTTCCCGATCCACAAGGAAGTTATGGTAGATGATTGCAAGCCTTGTGTAAATCTTCAGCTGAGCTTTTTTATTGCCCAGGTCCATGGCAGCAGCAAGTGCCAAATGATAATAGCCTGCTGCATCAAAGGGATCCTGAAATAAGAGACACAAAGATAGTACCCTCTATAGTACAACCGGTGTAAGAGGACATCCAAGCTCAGTTTATTAGGTATCAAGAGAGAATAATATAGATTCTGAACTTCAGTAGGTTTTCCCACTTTATTATTTACATTCTAAATGCATAAAACCAGAATGTGGTAAAACCTGATGTTATGAAACACTACTCAATGTAACGATTTTCTGCAGCAGTTTTTCATATTTCTTACCTTAAGGTCATAGAATATAATGTCTCCTAAGATCAAGTACACCTTGACATAATACAGTGTTTCCTCCTCAAACTCCAGAGGAGAGGAGCAGAGGGACAAGGCCTTTAAATAGAAGTGTTCAGCTAGTTCACAGTGACCCAAATGATGATGGATGGCAGCCAGCCGATGGTAAGCTATTCGTTCATTTAGCTGATTTCCTAATGAGATAATATATGAATCAGGATAAAACCAAAGAGACCAAGTAGTCAAATTGTCTCAAACCAGAATACATCTATGCTAATTTTTGGTTTACTTCTATTTGGTATTTGCTGATCTTTTATTGAATAAAACTAATTTTGCTCAAGAGCTACATGGCCAAAACCTGTCCTTTAAGAAAAATCCCACAGAATTCCCAAATGTCATAGTGTAGGATTTGACAGTGTCTGGGATTTTCTTAAGAGACAACTACATTCATATCTCTCATTCATATCCCTCATGCATTCTATGATCCTATGTATAGATATACACAGCCATAATACCATGCATACTTTCAAAGAATAAACATAGATTATTTTGAAAGTATAGTAGCTAATGAGATTAAAGACTCCCTTGCCTCTCCCAGTACATGACAAAAAGGTGATTTTTCAGACTGATCAAAATGACCTGTCTGTACATGTATGAAGGGGCAAGAGGGTTCTTAATCAGTTGAACAGCTCTCAAACTCAAAGAATTTGGAAGCTAGCCCTATCATTTTTGACTACTTTTTCCTAGGTCGGTTCACCAGCAAGGCTATGAGCAAATCTGAAAGAAATATATGACACTCGAAAGCCTCTTGGGATAATATTGTTCATTGGTATTACAGCTTAGCTACGAGAAGAGCACTCAATTTGGACTTGGAATCCCAGGCTTAATTCTATGCTCTACCAAAAGTTTTCCATATGAGCTTGGAGTTAGAAGAGACAGCAATAAAGTTGTTTGTTTTTGAATGGAAGCAAAAATAGCAATGATAGTATCATGAAATCCTGGCAAAAAATCTAACTGAATTCAAAGGAAGAAAACTTTTTAGAATTCTGCCTCATTTTGGGGATATCAGTAATATTCAGCTATAATTGAAATTGGTCTTACCTAAACTTACACTGAGCATAAGAGATGCTCTTGCATATTCCAGACTTTCCTCATAAGCCTTCAGATTCACCAGCAATTCCACCAATTTGTTGCATAATCTGAGTTCGGTGTTTTTGTTGCCAGTCTTAACAGCAAGTGGAAGAGCCCTATCCTGAAATGCATAAAAACAGATAAGGTACTGCTGGACCCCAAGATGTGCATTGACAGGCTTCCATTTATGTCTTGTCACACAGTTTCTGTTCATATTTTGCTCTTTGCATAAGGCATTTCTTACACCCAGAAGTTGCAACAGGTGAAATCTATTAACACCATGACAAAGTACTCAGCTGCAATAGGTTATAAACTGTTTGCTGAGAGGATCAGCTTTTGGTTCAGCATTTGTAGAATACCGGCTGTGACAGGAGGATACATAACTATGGATGCAGTAGAAAAACTGCACAAACCTTGTAGAAAGTCACTGCTTTCTCCTTTTCCCAAGTACCATTAAAAAATATGTCTCCAGCAGCTTCAAACAATTCCATTCCTAAATTTGGGTCTCCTGTGTAAAGAGCAGCATTCTGAGCAACCTGAAAAGAAAACAAGGAATGGGGAAAGAAAATCTTGGTTATTTCTTGGTAAAAAAAATCATAAATATTAGCAAATGAAAAAAGATCTTGTTAAGGCCTCTCATTATAAAATAGGAAAAGCTATGAGACCATGCTCTGTCTTTTTGGTACCCTGGTTTTGAGCAGGCCAGCAGCAGATGCTGAAGAAGGAACATAAGGACCTGAGCACATAGCGTTATGGTCTCCCTTTTTCTGGCAATAGTACCCTGCTACCTTCGTCAGCACATGGCACTAAAAACCAATAGTGCATTTGATAGCTGCAACATATTAAATTTGAATTAAATTGCACATATCATAGAAATAAATTCTAATTGCAGGTTAGATATTGCTAACAATGCAGATTTAAAAGCCTGTGAAGTGAATTCTGTAAATATATGCAGCTCTACTATCTTGTTATTCTGAAGTAAATATATGCCATGTTAGCAAAAAGGACTTCATGAAAGGCAGCATGCATCCTCCCCGAAACAAGGATTCCAGGATAGTTGGTTACAGATAGGATAAGTAGTAAGGAGAAAGGGGACTTGCACAAGAAGCAAGTTGAAGAATCTTGTTTTGGTTCTGAATTCTTTAGTTTTCAAGTTGCATTCAATTAACACAAGTCCAGCTCTCTACTTAAGCAGAAGCAGCAATCCTTTTCAGCCTATTTTGGCTTCAGGCACATAAGGACTCTATTGCATCACATTTTTGGAAGTTGTTTTACATGCAAGTTCAGATGTGATGACTTGCACAAATTACTGGCACAGCAGTCAACCTTTTAGTGGGCAGATTCCCACTTTGAGGCTTTCCTCATGGAGAGACACTGACTGCTCTAAATACCAGGTTCCGTACATGCACAGTATGGAATACACATGCATGTCCCTGGCCTGCTGCTCCTCTTTGAGGAAATAAAGCAGATGGAGAAAAATCATCCCACATACTGATGTGGCTTTTGTACCACCAGGTGACTGACTTGGGGGCTATCAGCTAAAATCATTCAGTAAAAGAAAAAAACCAAACCCAACCACAGGCCTATAACACAGTCCCTTCCTGTAAGCACATTTATTCAGTTTTCCTGGTAAGTATTCAAAAATCTAACTTAATTGAGAGAGGAAAACAAAAAATCATTAAAGCAGCCCCACATGTTGTGCCTGAGTACATTTTAAACATAAACGTGTTTTCCTGCTTCTTTGTAGAATTTTTTGAAAACACCTTAACAGATGTGTGATTATTTTATTTAGAGATCATGTTTTGGTACCACTCACACACCAGACAGGACTCTGATCTTACTATACTAGGTTCTGTATACATCCTGCACTACAAGGCAGCACTATCCCTTACAAGGGGAGAAAAGTATTTTTAACCCCTTAACAAAAGCAAGAAACTCGTTCCCCAAATCCTTCAGTGAATTGCTAGAAGCCATATAGAAGATAGCATCAGATCTGGGCTGCAGTGCAGCTCTGAGAAAGACTCCAGATCATCCAGTTTCAGCAGGCACAAGGGCTAGATTCCCATTTCAGGTCATTTTTCAGTCTGTGTTAGCACAGCAGTAGAAGCAGCAGCAGGTCCCAGTTGGTTGTGGAGGGTCCGAGGTGTGCAAGCCACGTGCCTCCTGTCTCACGGTTGCAAAGGCAGCAGCAGCTCCAGCTGGCTCCATGCTGTGCTATGCACAGCCACAGAAGGAAAGCTTTAGATGCTTTGGAAATGCTTCCTGAAAAAGCTGCTCTCTGTTTTCCTGGGGATCTGGCCCACAAGCCAGCATGCTAAGATGATTATTATCTGTTAGCCACCAGCATGTAGCATACATACATGGTTTGATTGCTGCAGTGCTGTAGAGCTGGTAGATGATGAAGAAATAAACAGAATTTACAGAGCAGGCACTAAGAAAGGTCACTGCCCAAAATCTTTCCAGAGACAAGCAACAGATTAAAATGGAGTGTCACCAGAAAACACAGAGACTTTCAGCTGTTGAACAATACATAAATACTGTTACTATATGTTCAGAACATCAGTTAGCAAAATCTCTGGGATCGTTATATTGAATTACTCTCTTACCATGCCACCTGCACTGTGTTGACAGCATGCGCATGCCTGTAAGCGTTGACAACATACCTGAATATAAAGATCCACAAGCTCATTCTGCCTCAGAATGTAATATATCTTTCCTGCCTGTAGCCAAGCATATGCCTCTTTCTCTTTTTTCTGGAGATCTATAAATATTCCAAGGCTTCTTTTGGTATATTCCAGAGCTGACCTGTAAGCCCTGAAACAGTGGAAAACTGCTAATCACTGAAGGGTTCTTCAAAATTGGAAATGTTTTTCTTCATAATGAAAAAAGTTTTATGTTAATGTAAAAAACAATGTGTTTCCTCTATTCAATGCACAATTATAGTTCCTCAGTTATATTCCATTAGTAACTAGCAAATTTGGTCTTTTTCCTCTTCCTTTTTTTGTTCAATCTATGTTTCCTGTTGGATTGTTATCATGTTATATTATTTCAGGACAGTTTATTTTAGATGTGTCCTTCCCCTACACCTCAGGCTAGTGACAGGTGGAAAAATCTTTCCTCATCTTTAGCTCTTTGTTATTATCTTTAACAATTATCATTTATGGCTTTTTCCCAGAAACCTCAGAAAGAAATGGTGTCTGTAAATATTTTTCTAAATATCACCTAGGCCTCAGACTTAAGCACAATTCAGACTAATCAGAGTTTGTAGAAAATCTTGGAGGGGGACAGTTAAGACTTCTAGAGGCACTTAAATTATCAGATCAGTGGGCAGTGACATTTTCTTTAAGTGTAAGGGCACTGCGCCCTCAGAAGAATAGTCATCTTTTCATTAGAAAGACCTGTCAGATTGGTTGAGCTTACAGTGCTTTATACCAGACATAGAAGCCCCAGACTTTCTTATTAAATCCTTCTCTATCTGTCTTGTGATAGACTCCCACCACCTGGACCTGGTGCATTTTCCTCCAAGCACAGGACACAAACATATTAAAATACACCATGGACTGTGCAGTTACAGTGAGTCTTTACACAGTGCGTCTTTAGAACAGCCTACTTAGACCTCCAAAAAGATGCGAAACAAATCTAAGTAATATGCTCCTTAGTATTTCACACTATCAAGACTTCAGTTCTGTCTCAACATGGTATCTCATCTGAAGGAAAAGAAATGTTTTTACCACTTCCTGATTCTTACAGAAATTGAAGAGACCTGTCACTCCTTTTATACTCATGAGAGGAAGTAAAGATCCACTGAACAAGCCTGATATTTCAGTTGTCTTTTCTTTGCTAACAAGCTGCTAACATGAGGAAAGGCAAGGTAAAGTAGTCCAACTCAGCCCAATTACTGAATGCCACTTCCATCCCTCCTTTGGAGTTTTTGCTTTTACAGCAGACAGAAGCATATACTAATCTAAAACCCAGCACGGCAGTTGGAATGGGTCAGGTTGAGTCCCCTGGTGTGGCCGCAGTAATTTACAATGGAGGTTATGACATCAAGGACATTACTGTTTTCATTACTTCATCATAGACACATATTCACAGAATACTGTGATACTATGGTCTAATACCATATTGAGTACATGCTATTATCCAGTAGTCTGCTGAGGTTACACAGCCAACATTACTTGGGAGCCAGGCTTCTAGGCAAGGAGCAGGGAGTGGGACTTGACGATCCTTATGGGTCCCTTCCAACCTGAGATATTCTATGAATCTATGATAAATTCCATGCACTACAGGCACACAAAACAGCAGCTTCTCCAGCTAGTCAAATCCTTCTGCAAATTCCAGGTAGTTCAAAATCTTAACCAAGTCCTTTGTCTTCAGCCTCTTGAAAGGATTTTCACCAACTATCTCATTAAACAGCAGTGAACAAAGCAAAATAAATTAGGCGACATTAGGAAAGTTAGATGCTTGGGCTGCAGCTACTTAAAGCTAAAATAAGCATCTACTCTCTTTCCACAAATAAGAATATTTTTTCTATCCTTACTGAGGCATGCTTGAAAATACCTGAATCTAAAGTGACTCCCTGAAGTGAGATACAGTA